GATTATGTTTAAGATTTTAAATTTCAATAATTAATCCGTAAATTATGATATTTTAAAATTTTAAAATTTTATAAATATCATGATTTTTTTATAGATTGTCATTCAATTCAATTGATTTAAACTCAAAAGAAAAAAAATACAGACAAAAGAAAAAAAGTTTCAACTCACAAAAATTTCTAAATAATAATAGATAGTCTGTCGAAAAAATACAGATAGTAAAAAAATAGAATAATAGATTTAAAGGTATTTTCAAATAGTAATAATTAAAAAAAAATGGAATAACAATCTTTTAAAAAGAGGAGAAGAGAAGAACCAATGAGAATAGCTAAGCACAAATGGGCATCACGTGGGTGTGGGGTCAAATTCAGAAATAACAAACCAACGCGTGAAATACAAGCTATACAAAAAGCGATTGAGATTTGAACAAAGGGATTAGAGTTGTTGAATGATGAAAATATTGATCTGAGAGAGAGAGAGAGAGAAAAACCAAAATCAAATTCGATGCATTGAAGATGACAACATCCACATGGCTTAGTTTCGACCTAGTGAATAAAATCAAGCCATCTAAGCAAATCCGAATCTCAATGATGCTTATATGACACGTGGACATTTAAGATCACACCGTTGGCGTAGGAAGAAAAATAAGATAAAGAAAAATATCCCAAGAACATTAATTAATATTAATATTTGTAGTTGTTTTTCTTTTACTAAGGTGTGGTGTGTGGGGGCCATAGAGTATTTGGGAGATTAATACAACACCACACAAAAACAAAAACTTGTTGTTCCCTTGATAGTAGACACCTGTCTTCAAGATTCACCACAAAGTCATCTTCCTTCTCTCCTCATCATTTTGCTTCTTCATACATTTATTATTTCTTTTAGAAATTTTAAAATAAATAATATATAAAAATTTTGAATTAAATATTATGTGGATATAAGTAGTTTTGTTGCAGGAGATACTAGGAATATTAATACATAGTGTAAGATTAGACACCTTTGTGAAAGAATCACTATCCACTTTAAATTTTAAGGTAATAAGTGAGTGAATTCTTACTCACACTTGCTATATTATTCCAACACCCCCCTCAAGTGTAAGTCTATAATGCTCCCTCACTTGTACCGTCATTGACATCTTTGCAACGGAACACCACTTTCTGGGCGCATTTCGATGCAAATCTCTTTCGGTCTCTTTATCGAACCAAAGATACTAGGAGCATCGATACATAATGTAGGAATAAACACCTTTATGAGAGACACATAACTTATCCACCTAAAACCTTAAGTTGATAGATGAGTGAGTTATCCCACTTATATATGCTTAAGTCTTCACATTCATATCCAATGTGAGACTATTTCCTCACTTACTCACACTTGCTATATTATTCTAACACGCCTCCCCCTACCCTCAAGTGTAAGTCCACAATACTCTCCTACTTGTACCGTCATTGACATCTTTGCAACGGAACACCACTTCCTGGGCGCATTTCGATACAAGTCTCTTTCTCGAACCAAAGGCTCATGATACCATGTTGGGGGGAGATACTAGGAGCATCGATACATAGTGTAGGAATAAGCACCTTTATGAGAGACACATCACTTATCCACCTAAAACCTTAAGGTGATAGATGAGTGGGTTCTCCCACTTATATATGCTTAAGTCTCCACATTCATATCCAATGTGAGACTATTTCCCCACTTACTCACACTTGCTATATTATTTCAATACTCTCCCTCAAGTGTGAGTCTACAATGCTCCCTCACTTGTACCGCCATTGACATCTTGCAACGGAACACCACTTCCTGGGTGCATTTCGATACAAATCTTTTCTGGTCTCTTTCTCGAACCAAAGACTTATGATACCATGTTGGGGGAAGATACTAGGAACATCGATAAATAGTGTAACAATAAGCACTTTTGAAAAACACACTATTTATCCACCTAAAATCTTAAGATGATAGGTGAGTGGGTTCTTATACACATTTGTTATATTATTCCAACAGTTTTCATTTATCATACAAAAGTTGATTTTTTTTTTGTTATTTTTTCAATTTTGTAGGAGGGAGATCTAGATATTTCAGAATTTTATAAATTAAATTAAATAAATTATTATTATTATTACACTCAAAAATTTGAATGATTTTTTTTTTTTCAAATTAATTTTATTAGGAACAATTGATTTGAAGTTTAATATTTCATAATTTATTGCTATTGGCCAACTCTAGTTAATAGATAAACATGGTTTGAAATCTAGGCTCTATATTATCACAATCAAACCACTAGATTACGATGAAGATGACATTTTATAATTTATTATATGTTAATATAATTTGAGTGAAACAATAAAAGAAATTACATTTAACTTTTTTAATGATTTGAAGTTCACTTGGTTCAATTTAGTTTGTAAATGCAAAAGTATTTAATTGAAAGGATGCAAATTTAAATATGTAAAATATCTCAATTATTCATATTAAAAATATAAATTTTTACAATTAAAATAATACTATAAAAAAACAAATAAATTAAAAAGATGATGAGGTTGAAATCATCCATAAAATAAAATAGTGTTAAAATTTAAATAAATAAATAGATTTTATTGCATATTGAAGTTCTTTTCTAAAAAGAAAAAGCTACATCTAAAAAATATGACTCTTTATATATATATAAAATAAGTGTCATGATTTAAACAGGATATCAAAATCTTGTTAAGAAGAAAGAGAGTTATTACCATTTTATATAAATGTTCTTGAGTTGCTACGATTTTATGTGTGCTTTTAAAATGAAATACATACTATTTACAAGTAAAAAACAAAAAAAGCTTAATTTTATATTTTAAACCAATTATTAAGCAGATATGGCCCAAATTTGCAGTGATGACAACTAGATAAGACTTCCCGTTAATGCAGGATCATATACATTGCATCTATGATGACTTTATTTATTGACATATTTTCACTCTTTTTATATTAGTTCTGTATGGGTTTTCTATTTTATTTTTCCACACATCATTTATAGCATGTATAAATTTTATTTCTTATCTTTCTTATGATTATTATTTTTTATAAAATATTATCTTTCTTATAATTAAAAGTATATGCTTAGTTTTTGGCTAATGAGTCACTATCCTTTGTCGACAAAGTTGGGGCATCTTATAAATAATACAATCTAGATAGAGTTTTCTTTTTATAACAACTAAAGTTGGTCCTCACAAAAACAAAGCAAAAAAAAAAAAAAACTAAAGTTACTTCAATGGAGTGTTCTTAATTACTTTCATTTGCATCTTCAAATAGATTAGTATTTTATGTTATGAACTTTCTTTAAAAACTAGTGAGTTTTTATCAAGTTATGACATTTGACAAACTGAAATATGTTAAAATGCTAGTCACCAAATTATTGACAAGTGTAATGTGTTCCTCTCAATTATTTTCAGAGCTATACAAGCAAAGTCATGATATCCTTTTTCTTTCTCTTCTTTATCAATCAATTTTAAAATTTGTAACATGTGAATTTGATTGTGTATTACATGCTTCATAAATAAATAAATTAACATATCAATGAAATTAGATTTAATTAGAGTTAGACTCATACAATATAAAAAAAAAAATCTTTATTTCAATTTTGATTCACAGAACTAGTTTATTTAATATAAAATTTAAAATTAATTAATTTCCTCTTATATTTTATTATTAAAAATTATCTTTTAATTACATGAATCTTTCACAAAAGTTTCTAAACTATAATTCGTCACATTTACCATTTATATGTCATTTAAGTCATTAATATTAAGTACAAATATAAATTAAAAAAATTAAATTTTATTAATCATTTATAATAGAGAAAAACATTAATTAAATTTAAAAATAAATAAATTTGAATACTATAAATGTTTTATATTTTTTTCTCTTTTTATCAATTAAATAAGGTAAGGTGTAAATAATGCATGATCAAGATTATTTTAATATAGTTTTTATTTTTATTTTTAATGTTTTAAAAATATAACATTGCATTTTACTATTTTCTTAATAAGTAAAATGATTTTTACTCGGTATAAAATGTAAACTATAATTTAAAATAAAAAAAATTTTAAAATTAATTATTCTTATTTTAATAATAATTTTTAAATGACTTTAAGAATAAATTTAATTTATTATATTAACCATATAAATATTTTTCATTATTTTTTATAATAACCATTCATATGTGTTATTTTCAATAAAATAAAATTAAAAATTAGAAATTAAAAAAAAGGTAAATGTAATTCTATTAAAAGTATGTTTGAATTGACAGTAAATACAATGAGTTTTAGCAAAATTGAGATTGGTTGAATTAATTTTAGCAGAGTTATTTATGAATGGATATATTTATGTAAAAATAAGTTGAATAATTAATTTTAATAGAATAAATTTTAAAATATAAATTATAAATTTTAATTTCTAGTAAAATTAATTTTAAAAATATAATTATTTTTATTTTTGATAAATCAAACACAAATATTTAAAAGTTAAAATCACCCCGAATTAATTTTTTTTTTTATAAATTTTTTTTTGAAAGTCATAGAAGTCAATTCAAATCTACACCAAATATATTAATTGTTAGTACATATCAATATAGTTATCCAAGAATATTATTTGAAACATTGTTATGTTTATTTTTTGTTTCTAAATAATACTATTTTTTAGTCAAATTTCTAAATAATAATATTAACAATAACATTTTCTGTTTTATTTAAAACATCTTTCAATAAATATAAAAAGTTTAGATAACCTCTCATCTTAAAATTATATTTTTGTTTATAAATATGAGAAAGAAGGATCTATTTTTCCTTCTCTCTTTCCTTCCTTCATACCCATTCTTCACCCAAACCAAACCATCCCAAGACAGAGAAACCCAAAAAAAAAAAAAAAAACCGCAACAAATAAAAAGAAACAGAAATTAACGAAGAACAAAACCGCGTTGATAGCAAAAAAAGAAAAAGAAAACCAGAAGACTCTGATCGAAGAAAATGAAAAAGAACTGCGAACTCTGCAAAGCTCCGGCTACAACTTTCTGTGAGTCCGACCAGGCTAGCTTATGCTGGGACTGCGATTCCAAGATCCACAGTGCAAATTTCCTTGTTGCCAGACACGTCAGGACTCTCCTCTGTCACCGGTGCCAGTCTCCGACGCCGTGGAAAGCCTCCGGTGCTACGCTTAGTAACGCGCTTTCTTTGTGTGAAACATGCGGTTGCGGTGGTGGTGGTGGAAGAAAATTTGAAGATGAACAGGAAGAAGAAAGTGAAGGTGACAATGAGAATGAGGATGACGATGAAGTAGATACTGATTTTGATGAGGAGGATGAAGAGGAAGAGGAGCTTGATGGTGATGAGGATGGTGATAATCAGGTTGTTCCTTGGTCGTCTACGGCGGCGGCGCCGCCGCCTTCCAGTTCTTCCGGTAGCGAAGAGTCGGTTAGTAAGTCTAACGATAACGATGAGGAGGTTGTTTCGAAGTTAGTTACAATAAACTCAATTTCTTTGAAACGACGTCGTGAAGAGGATCGTGATTTTCAGGTAATTTTTTTTTTATTTTTTCAGTTTTCTTCTTATTAATTTTTGTTAATTTTTTGTTAATGTCTTGATTTTGTGTTTCAGGCTTCAGATTCGAAAATTTGCGTAGATCAGCGTATGTACGGTGGTGAGAGGAGGAGAGACGACGGAGAACCGTCGTCGAAGGCGTTGATCCGGCAAGTTAACGACGGAAAGGTCACGAGCAATCTCAGCCGCACGATTGAGTTGGCCGTACAATAAGGGATATTATTTTATTTGTGATCTCTTTGATTAACTTTCGCTAACGAAACTCATTAGATTTTTATAATGTAATACGCATTAGTTTATTTTTTGTTTATTTTGTAATGATATTTTGAGGATTATGGTTATGATTGATTAGTTTTTTTTTTCATTTCAAATGTGATATTTTTTCTGTTTATATAATTATGTAAGGATGAAGAGAAAAATCAGATTATGAAATTTAATGTATGTTTATTCTGGTGTATCCTTAATGTACATGTGTTATTTCTCAATTTAGAAGAAATTTTAGGTAAGTAATTAAAGACTTTGCATCAATCTAAACCAAGTGTTTTTTTTTAAAGCACATGTATAACATGTGATTAGGTAATATGGAATTAATTGAGACCTATGATATATAAATTTACTCATTTAAAATTTATCACTTTATTCATTGTGTAGCATTGGTTACTATTTATAAATTTGGTGTGACAAAACTATATGATAAGAAATTGGTTGTTTAGGTTGCTTGAAATTGAAACGTAGTTCATTTGGTGACACCAGCAATTGTTTTTAACCAAGAAAAGATAGAAACGTGTCGAAAGTTTTCATCACTAGTGGTAAGACACATTATGTAACTTGTGGTTCTAAATAGCAATGGTTGTTTGTTTCTATTTCATTCATTCAAGGTGTGATGAGGAAAGTGCTTTGATGAAGAGTGTTATGATAGGGGCTATAACTAGTCATGTGTTATTGCCACCTTTCAACAACCATGTCAATTACTTCAGTTTCTTGTTAAGAAAAACAAACATGTCAGTTTAAGAAAGTAACGGAAACCTTCCAATCCTAATTAATTACACCATGTTTATTTCATGAGCAACGTTTTTCAAATCACACCAAATTTTTAGGTATGTGTAACGTATGTTGTCACCACCGGATATAGCTGAACAAGGTAGATGTCTTAAGCAATTGTTTAGCCACATTTTAATGTGCTCTAATAGGTTGATTAAGTATATATTTATAACAAACAATTCACCTATCTATTTATTGAATAATCCATCTATTAGTATGTAAGTTAGATATATCAAGGACAATTTTTTAGATATATTTTTTACTAAAAATATGATAAATATATAATTTCTTCTTATACATATGTAAATTATTCATATTTAAATATAATTGAAAAATAATAAAAATCAGACTTAAAAAATTGTACTTAAGCTTTACTTTTTATTTAATAAATAATAAATAAATTATTTTTTTTATAAAAATATTGAATGAAGTATATTTCTTTAAGTTAGATATTTTTAACAAATTAACTTTTTTTATTTTAAAAATAATTTAATTATTTTAGTCTATAAAAATTTATAATAATACTCTTTTAAACTCAATTGTTAATAAAATTTAGCGTATTAACTACTCCCTCTGTTCCCGAGTATTTAAATTATACAATTAAAATGCTGTGCTTAACCTTTGTTAGCTATGCAAACTAAATCACAAGATTTATTTACATGTTCTGAATCTTTCAACATTGATGAAGAAACATAAGTCCTTTCAAAATTTGATAGCAAATTAAGACATTAACACACATATGTAAACTAATTATCGGGCTTCACACATATACGTTTAGGATGATTAAACACAATATTTCAATCACATGTACGGATAACAAAATCACTTTATTTTTTTTAACATAACTTGCTCAAAAGATTAGTGGTATTAATACAATTAAAGTTTGATTAAATTCACTCTTATAAAGTTAATTTGTAAGAATATCAGTATCACTCTATATAAATCATATAAATCTTAGATAAGTTCTATCTTTAACTAAAGTACTTGAATTTTTTCAATTTCTCTTATGTCTTGATTAATGTGAGATTTAAATTTTTTTCTTAAACATACGATACAGTGAATTTGGCCTAAATTAAATTAAGTATTGAATGATTTTTTATTTAATTTTTGTTTTAATGGTAACCACTAACCAAACATCTGGAAATTATTTTTTCTTAAACCAAAATTAGTTAGTTGGATTAGTACTATTAGCATCATAAAAAATACAATTAGTTCATTAATACATACATTAATTAATATAAAGTTTGATTCTCCTTGCATGAGGATCATTATCCTTTGAATGAATTGTTGGAACAAATCATGACTTGGCGTGGCCGGCCATCACATCAAGTGAACATGTGAATGTTCTTATAAAAAATATCTACAAAATAACATATTAAAAAATTAAACATTATAATAAATTAATATTAACTGAAATAAAAAAGTCATACTAGGCTAATAAAGCTAAATATTTTAAGAGCCACAAGAAGAAGTTGTGGCTGAGAAAGATTGTCCAATAAAATCATTCTTCAACCAACCATTTGAATTTAGAATCACGCATAGTCTAATCAGATATTTTGAACTGGTAATTATATTTTAAGACGTGAATTATATTAAATTATTAATCAAGAAACCCTTCAATTGAGACATGATAAAATAATAACTCTTGTCAACTTAGAAGAAAATAGAATAAAGAAGTATATAATAAATGGAATGAAGTGTGTGGCTATAATCTTGTGGTGTATAATTGTATGGTGTGCATGTGGTGTGTGGTATTGGTTCCATGCTTTATTTGTTTCTTGTTGATTTTATTTCATTTGAGTATTGTCCATTGAGGGTGATTGAGCATCGATTTTTTACTTGTCGTTTGAGGAATTGTACTACCAATGACCTTATGGGCTTGAAAACGACATGAACTTGGAATTTTTCTGACTAAATTCTTTGTATTCGTCCTAGTAGAGTGTAGAGACTAATTTCTTGCTTGGTTCTTCTTCGTTTGTTTTCGGACACGTTCAAAGTTTTGTGTCTAAGATAGGGGAGTCAGTGGTCTATTTTGAATTTTGAAAAATGTGGCTTCATTCTTCTTTGTTTTAACTTATTTTCGAGCGAAAAAATTTCATTTAGTTGAAAATATGAATAAAAGCTAATAAATAAAAAAGTTGATATCGTATACGGCTCATTGGTAGTGTTTATTGGTGTATATAGTAATTCAAATGTATTGTATAAGTTTTTAGGAGTATTTTAGAGGAAACAACTTAAACATAAGTATTTCTGAAATGTAGAATCTAGAATTTTCAAAGGCATAATCGATTACGCGAAACAATATAATCGATTACAAAGGTCTGTTTCTGTTTTGTTTTTCCAATTATCGAAGCCATAATCGATTACGACATTTAACGTAATCGATTATGAGCCAGTGTTTTGGACTGTTTGACTTATTTTAAGTTGTTTTTTGTTTTCCAATTATGTTGTCTTTTCTTGTATATAAAGACCCTTAAGTATAATGTGTTTTATGTAATGCCATTTGTTATATTTTTCTCCCTAACCTCTCTCTCTCTCTCTCTCTCTCTCTCTCTCTCTCTCTCTCTCTCTCTCTCTCTCTCTCTCTCTCTCTCTCTCTCTCTCTCTCTCTCTCTCTCTCTCTCTCTCTCTCTCTCTCTCTCTCTCTCTCTCTCTCTCTCTCTCTCTCTCTCTCTCTCTCTCTCTCTCTCTCTCTCTCTCTCTCTCTCTCTCTTATTTCTCATTTTCATCTTCTCCGATACTCACTTTTCTCCATTGATTCACCAACTTAACTTGTGTATGTTTCAACATTTGGTATCAAGAGTCTTGGTTATGATCCATAATCCAGTGCAAAAATGACTATCGTCTCCAACAATCGAGACCCCACAAATCTTCTAATCCTTTATTCGAAGAACTACGATAAATGGTGCAAACAAATGAAGGTATTGTTTAGCTATCAAGATGTCCTTGAAGTGGTCAACAATTACGCCACTTGGGACAGAAGCTACAAATGCTCAGAAGGTTGCATACAAGGAAGAGAAGAAGAAAGATTACAAGACAATCTTCTTGATTCATTCTTGTGTAGATGGTGACAACTTTGAAAAAGTTGGTGATTGCGATTCGACGAAGTAAGCATGGGAGATCTTGAAGAAAGCTTATGAAGGGGCTGATAAGGCAAAAGTGGTGAGGTTAGAAACTCACCAGCGGCAATTCAAATTGGTTCAAATGGAAGATAAGGAGACAATCGACGATTATGAAATTTGCAACACGTGTTTGGTGAATCAAATGAAGTCTTGCAGAGAAACTATTTTGGAGCAGAATGTTATAGCGAAAATCTTGTGTTCTTTGACACCAAGATTTGACAATATTGTAGTGCGATCGAAGAGTCGAAGGATCTTATGACATTGAGCAAGGAGGAGCTTCAAATCTCTCTTGAGGCTCATGAACAAAGGATGGATGAAAGGGGAAATGACAAAGCTAAGACGGAGATTGTGTTGCAAGCATGGTTCAACGAGAAAAGTAAAAGATCAAAAGGAAAATGACCTTTGAAAGCAAAGGAAATTTTCCAGAATTTTGGTGCTAAATATTCACAAAATTCGAAGGTGTCGATGTGGAAAAGGTGTGAGAGCAGATCCAAAGGTAGTGATTAAAGCAACTACACCAAGAAGATTGAAAAGAGTAATGTGAAGTGTTACAATTGCCATAGACTTGATCATTTCGCAAAAGATTGCAATGCGAAATCAAGGGAAAATCAAAGAGATGGGGCTAAGGTTGCTCGACATGAGGTGGATAATGATAACACGCTTCTGGTCATGATCACAAAGGAGAATTATGGTAGTAATAAAGAGAAATGATGAGGAATTTGATGTGTTTAAGAAGTTTAAGTCCATGGTTAAGTGGAAAAGTGGTCACAAACTTAAAATTCTCAAAATATATGGTAGAGGTGAATATACCTCGAATGAGTTTGGGAAGTATTATGATGAAGATGAGATAGTGCGTGAAGTTGTGCCACCCTATACGCCACAAAAAATGGTGTTGTCGAGAGAAAAAATCGTTCGATAATGAACATAGTTTGAAGCATGTTAAAGGGAAAAAACTTGTCGAATGAGCTATGGGGTGAAATAATTTTTACAGCCACCTATTTGTTGAATATGTTCCTAATAAAGAAGCTTGATAAGGTGATTCCAGAAGAG